AAATAGGCTGAGCTAGGAAGAAACCCACCTCACAAAAAAAGGACAGGATGCAAACTTGGAGCCAGGAGGAGGGAAAGAATACTTCCCCTAAAGTTTTGTAACCACAAGTCCACCATTTTCTAGTGGTGTCTTACAACTTGTGTTATTTGAAAAGCCTTGAGCTTTTGGGCCACACAAAGTCTGCAGAATATAATATGGAGAGGTAAAGAGATGGAACATATGAAAGACACATTAGGATACTGAGAAGATAAAGGGGAGAGGTATAGGATAGATCTAATCAGAGTTGCAGGAGGAAGAGAGGAAGAGGTAAAGGCAGTATTCCAAATGCTAAAGCTGATAATTTTCCAAACTAAAAGAAAGTTCATGAACCTTCAGATTCATGATGTAGAAATTGTGCCCAAGAGGTACAAATCTAAATCTAAGTATACACTTAGATAGTTCATAGTGCAACACTAAGACAAAGAGAAGGTCTTAAAAGTAGTCAGAGTGAAGACAGACGACTGACAGTTTTTTAATACTCGAAATCCAGTAGAAATGTAACTTAAATATTTTGAAAGAAGAAAACTCTAAACCCAAAGTTATTCACACAGCAAAATGTCAGAGAATGAGGATAAAATAAAGATATTTTCAGATTAAATAAAGGCCAAAAAATTTACTACCCACATCCTTACTAAAAGAACTTCTAACTTGTTAGGATGAGCACCAGGTGTTATAGGTAAGTGATGAATAACTAAATTCCACTCCTGAAACCAATATTACACTATATGTTAACTAACTGGAATTTAAATAAAAACTTAAAAAAATAATAAAATAATAAAATAAAAAATAAAATTTAAAAATAAATAAATAAATAAAAGACTTCTAGATATTGTGCTTTCAGGAAAAGAAAAGTTACCCCAGAAAAATGGTTGGATGTGCAGTAGAAAAAAATAGTAAGCACATAAATTCGATGAATTAAACACATACTGAGGCATTTTGCAAAATAATTATTGCAATAATTATATGTCTAATATGTAGAACTAAAATACTGAACAAAACTAGCAAAAATAATTCAAAAAGTGATGAATCAAAGCATTTTAAGGAAGGAACTGTTTGATCAAAACAGTACAATTTAAAATCCATGAGGTCAATAATTTTTTTGCCTATTTTCTTCTCTGTTATATATTCAGCACCTAAAGGAATGCCTTAAAAAGAGTAGACACTCCAAAAAACTCCACTAAATTAATACAAATTTTGTTGAACAACTGTATAAGTCAGGATTCTCCTGCTAAACAGAACCAATAGGGTGTGTGTGTATGTGTGTGTTGGGGGGGGATTTATTTTAAGGAATTGGCTTATACAATTATGGAGACTGGAAAGTCCAAAAATAATCTATAGGGTAGACCAGTAGGCCAGAGACCCACGGGAGAGCCAATATTTCAGTCCAAGTCTAAGGGCTGTTGATTATCAGTAAGGATAGTAACACTGTGAGTCAGAATGTATTAAATGTGTTTAATCTGTGAGTTTATAATGATACTAAAAATGTAATTTTAAAATCACTTTCTTCCTTTGAGGATGCTACGGAACCAATTCGTTATTTGGAAAACGATAACTAGAGGGATGGACTCAAGCAATTTTTCTTCCTTGACTTAATGAACTGTATTTCAGGGTAGCCAAATATTTGACGATAAGAAGGAATGAAAACACTGGAGATCTAGGCAAAGGCCTTCAGTGACTACTAACATGGCACATACAAACAAGAAACAAGTAGACACATTTTGTACATCCTTAGAAAAGTAAACAATAACATCTATGAAGTAGTCTCACAAAAATAACAAACTTAAGCAACAATTTACAGAAGATAGAAGGATCACAGCAACATGTAAACAACACCTCAAGGATAATAATCAACAAAATCTACCCTGTATACAAATAGCCCAGTTGCTAAAACCACCATCAAAAAAGAAACAAAGGCAAGAAGAAAATAAATCAGAAAGAGGAATCCTATAGATTGAGAGACACATTAACCAACTGCAATGTATGGATGTTTTGGGGGGTCCATTATTTCAATCTTACAAACCATTTTTTAAAAATGAGATAAACTTGTGCTCACTTTGGCAGCACATATAAAAATGAGATAAACTTTTAAACATTAATTGGATATGTTATTATAGTAAGAAATTATTTATGATAGCACTGACAATGGGGCTATAGATATATTTCAAAAGTATTTATTATTTAGAGATGTATATTGAAATATTAACAACTGACATGATATAATGTCTGGATTTTGTTGCAAAATAATCTGTGGGAGTAGAGGAGGCAGAAAGTTGGGGGAGTTGATCATTTCTGAGCCTGGGTAAATAGGAGTTCATTATTAGATTAGTCTCTCTACTATTGTATATGCATATGTGATAAATGTTCTAATATACAGTGTTTAAAAAGCAGATGAAGAAGGGATGCCTGGGTTGCTCAGTCAGTTAAGCGTCTGCCTTCCGCTCAGTTCCTGATCCTGGGGTCCTTGGATCTAGTCCTTCGTCAGGCTCCTTGCTCAGTGGGGAGTCTGCTTCTCCCTCTGTCTGCCCCTCCACCTGCTTGTGCACTCTCTCTCTCTCTTTCAGACAAATAAGTAAATAGAATCTTCAAGGAAAAAAAGCAGACGAAGAAAACCTAGAGAAATAACTCATTTTACCTGCCAAATTTGTGAAATGAATATAAGGAATGTGTTGCTTCCTATGTATGATTAAATAACCCTTTTTCTGAAATTTCTACTCTAATTGCCCCGTCCTTACAAGAAGGTAAGTGAGCTTATACAGAAGTTAGTGAAGCAGTGTTCTGAAACAAGAAAAGCCAAAACGATTCTAGGCATTAAAGCTTTACATTGTCACTAGTGGTGACACTAGTCACCACTTCAACTTTCTCCCTTTCACTTATTTCCCTACATATGTGCCCCTGGCTTTCCATCGACACCCCATTAAAGCAAACACCTGCAGTGGTATTTTCTCTGCTCATTTCTGCGTGCCCATTAACCCTCCCTATCCCAGACCTCTCTCGGAAGATAATTAATATAAAAACCTTAAACTGTAATCATATAATCATATTGCCACCTCTGTGGCACCCAAATGTTTTATTTATACATTTTATAATAGAGAATTGTTGATGCATCTCTTTTCTTCTGCAGATATATTGGCAGAGTTTCAAGAAATAAGAGAAGCAAAATCAGGATAGCTAGCTTCATTTTGTTTCGAAGTGCAGAGAAATAAATTTTCTATTTCAAATGACAATATTATTCATGTTAGAGCATCACACATTTTGGTGATTCAGACCCCAAAGAGGGTTATTCGCCTCTTTAAAGTGCTCTGCAGCTTAAATGTGCAGGGTCAGCAGCAGCTGTAGTCACTTGATTGCAGCATTGGGGATGTACTGTCTCTGAAGTTTAATGGGGCAGCTGCTTAAAAGGTCAATCCAAGTTAACCACTCATTCTGGCCCTCCTATCTTTCGCTTAAAAGACAAGTGTAGGGACGCCTGGGTGGCTCAGACAGTTGAGCGTTTGCCTTCCGTTCGGGTCATGATCCCAGGGTCCTGGGATTGAGTCCCGCATCGGGCTCCCTGCTCCTTGGGATCCTGCTTCTCCCTCTGCCTCTCTCTCTCTCTCTGTCTCTCATGAATAAATAAATAAAATCTTTAAAAAAAAAAAAAAGACAAGTGTATAAGAACAAAGAGAGAGAGGGTTTTTTAAAAAAAAAAATTTTGTTTAATGTGATCTAACACATTCAAAACAAGATTTTAAACTTCCCTGACTCACTTTGCTTAATGTTTAAAGTCTTTTTAGATATTTGTCCTCATCTTTTTGGTTTAAAACTTGCTGTTTGTCAAAGTGGCATGTTTTTTTTTAGTCACTGGATTTTTTTCTTCCTAGTTGCACAGATCCTATTAGAGAAATAGGAAGAGAAGAGAAATACTGAAGGAAAAATTTTGAGAAGAAAGAGAAAAGAGATGCAGGGGGTCCATCTCTCTCTCTCTCTCTCTCTTTCTCCTGCAGAGCTTCTAAGGTCTTCCCACCCTTTCTCATCCTGTAACTACTGATGCCCAGGAAGCATAAAGCCTTGTGTTTCTATTTATGGAGATTTTTATACTGCATGCTCTACAAAGGAAGAAAAACAACCCTATCCTTATATTAATCAAACTAAGAGTTGCCGGATTTTCTTGAACACAGATTTTAAGGGATTCCATGGCTGAGAGGTGTTTTTTGTTTTTCTTAAAGGAATCCGATAACAATACTCCTTTTATACCAATGTTCTTAGGCATTTGGATTTTACCATGGGTTCTATTTAAAATATTTAACAACTGATAAACTATGAACAAATAGTATCCTGATGACTCCAGCTGAGACAGGCATTAACCTTTAAATACTTACTTGTGAGAAGGTCTGAGGTCCCAAGAAAGGAGCCTGAGTGGCCAAAGTGGGTAGGAAGGCAGGCATGTAGGGCAACAGTTATTAAGAGTAACTATAAACTTATTTCAATATTTTCATAGCCACTGCAGCTGTGTGATGCTTAATGTATACTAGTTCTGAAATTTATTGATTAGTGGGGGTTTTTTTATTTGTTAGCCACTGTATAGACATAATTAGTCCTTGATGCAGTGTTCAATGATTCATTAGTTAAGTGGGGTTTTTTTTTAAATGAGGACCAACATATGGTCAATTTTTCTTTCACCAAATAAGTATATACATTTAAAAAACAAAAACCTAAGTGCTTCCTATTGTCACCATCATTTCATAACAGGGAAATTTAAAACCACATAAGTAAATAGGACATAATCTTAGAATAAAAAGGCAGGTGTTTTTTTTTTAATAGAATGAGTTTACCTTTATGAAAAACTCACAACATTGATTTTATTTTTTATAATTTCTCTACTGACTCAAGAAAATTTAATTACCAACCTACCTTAGTCCACAGAGAAACCTTCACCTGATACTTTTGTAAGTGGTCAGTTTAAAGTGAAGAAGTATCTTCCTCTGGAGCACAATCTATGAACAGAAAATTTGAACAGGTCAATAACCAGAAGATAAATGTGTTTCATCACACAGATATTAACAAACATTTAGCATTGTCTGTTGAAGAAGGGCCCAACTTCTGTTTACTCTGTGCTCATAAATCTAGTGTCGAATTAAGGATTTACATCCCCTTTCATCTCAACCAAAACATGTCTAACCATTTGTTTTTCCTGCTGAATCTTGGTGATGCATAAGCAATGTTTTTTCCATGGTATAACTACAAAACTACTAGGTCTTACAGAAATGCCATTTCAGCACACACATGAATTCATGGTAGCACAAGATTAATAGTTTTACTCTGGAAAGTATATACAATATACACCAATGCTCTTTGAAACAGAATTTAGTGAAGAATGGGAGTATGCTTTCTGTCTGGCTAGATGAATTATTTCATTCCTCAGTATAAGCATTTTCAAAAAACAAAAAATCTAAAAGTTTTTACATGTTTCATTTAAAAGCAATTTCTTGACATTCAGTCAAACCCACAGTTAAAATGTTCTCAATATTCTGAAATATTCTGAGGGCCATTTTTACATTAACTGATTTGGAAGTATAAATACATTTGTATGGGGAAGCTTAGAATTCTCATTTTTAAAGAAAGTGAATACACATAATTAAAGAAAGTGAATTTCATATGACACCCACAATTATACGCATGATAGCTAATCTCATATTGCATTATTAGAATGCACATGTTCTTCCTTTTTATTGAATTAACAAGACTCAGAGACTTTTCCCCTTCTTTAACTAAATCTGTTCTCAACTAAAAAAACTTTAACAATGTCCCCCAGGTGTGCAAGTTGGTATTCTAATGCATGGTATCTAAAACATACTTTGGGTATGCCTGGGTGGCTCAGTCATTAAACGTCTGCCTTCAGCTCAGGTCATGATCCCAGTGTTCTGGGATCAAGTCCCCCAATGGGATCCCTGCTTAGTGGGGAGCCTGCTTCTCCCTCTCCCTGTGCCATTCTCTCCCACTTGTGCTCTCTGGCTCTATCTCTCTGTCAAACAAACAAACAAACAAACAAGCAAATAAATAAATAAATACCTTTTAAAACATACTGTGGTTCCCTCTGTATCTTAACTTGGAAAACAAGTTTGTACTAAACCATCACCCATTACTATTCCTCCGAACTTCTTCTTTGGCTTTCTAAATCGTTGATCTTTTTCGTCCTTCTTAAAGTTAAGTTTGGACAGAAATGTTTCAAAGGGAACTGTAGTAATTCTCTTAATGCTTAGTGCAATTAGCAAAGATTCAAGAAAATGTCTCCCGGTAGAATAACTGCATCATGCAAGAGTGTAATTACTAGCTAGCTTAGTCATCCTACAACTATTTTCAAAGCTCTGGTATTTAATCCACATAAATGTCCAGAGGCTGCCTCTTTGCCATTCTCCTTCATCTATAAGAACTGAATCACAGTTCTTTTGGACTAGATATATTACCTTTTCTAAAATTTGCCGTATGCCCTTTCTAAAATTTCCTAACAACCACAGTGAATGAATATTGCTATGCCCCCATGAACTAAATGAAAGGAGGGGGATAGAGATTTGATCATGATCTCTTTCTCCAATCTGTCATGAATGCTATCTTTCTGTGGGATTTTCCAGAACTATTCCCTTCCTATACAGCCATCTACTTCACTCGGAGGGGAGAGTGAGAGTATCAACATCTTTACCTATTAACAGTGTCCAGAATCTGATTCATTATTTTTTTGCTCTACCTCCATAGCTAATCTGTCCTCAGAAGTGAATGCTTCTAATAAACTTTTTTTCCTGCTCTAGTCATAATTTCACGGCTTCTCTCATTGGACTTCTCAGTTTTATAACTGTCATTCCCATTATCCTTTTCAACAATCACTCTGATAGTAAATGAGCAAGCTTGACTCTTTCGCTGATTTCTTTGGCAATATTTTTAGCACACTTTTCTTCCAAATGATTTAAACAAAGAAATGTTCTATTGTTTGGAACCACTAAATTGAAGTAAGCCCCCATTAATAGTGTTATTTTATAACTAATAGCATGTCCAGACATAAATAGGCCTGGCTGAGATAGTGTTCTATAGTTACTGGTTACCTAGAGAGCCAGTTCCAGACTCTAGGATATTGACTACAATGATCTGGTAAGGTCCTTGCAGCCTAGTATCTAACCAAAGTGGTATTTTAAAAGCTTCATTAATTAGACACTCTATAAAAGCACTAAAATCTTTAATGTTGTTGTTCTGAAAATGACTGAATCCACATGAGGAGTAAGAGCTTTGTAAAGTTTACTCTGAAGCTAATTTGAGCATGAGGTGTATATTGCAAATTATAAACTGTATTCAGTGGGATTCTGTTCTAGAGAAAGAGCCTTCTCTATGATATTATGTGAAATACTGGGAATTCAACAGTGATCAGACAGTTATTAATGTCCACTTTCTCCTGATTTTAATCTCCTGCCTTCCTTTAATTAACAACTATAAGAAATCTGTAGTCGGATGATTTTTTTTTTAATCTTTTCCCTCATCTAGACTGTTCTAACAACTTACAACTCTCACCCCAGTCTGCCCTGAGATCTCCCTTCTTTCATGTTACCTTCACAGCTGTAATGCATGTAGTTTTAGTTTGGAGAATGAACATCTTACTGAGACAGTTGTCTTACATGTCACAACTTTTAATCATCTCAGTGATCCTACAAGATAGGTATTATATTTCCCACTTTAAAGATTAAAAAAAAAAAAAAAGGCTTGCAGATATACTGTGCTATATACATCTAATGAGTGGTCCTGAGACCTGCTGGACTCCAAAGCCATCACTTTGCCTTACTCTCCCCACTGAGGGCATCAAGTCTTTATTAACAATATCCCAAAGAAGTTTGCTTCTTCCAATAAGAACTTGTTATTAATGACCCTAAGACTGGGATAGTTATGTGGTTCTACTCTGAATGTCTCTATGCTTTAATTAATTTAAATAATTAATATGCCTTTTTATTTCTACAGTCAGCGTTCCAACATTGTGTGTGTGTTGTGGGGGGCGGGGGGGTATATGTGTGTTTGTAAAGATTCAGACTCAATAAGTGATATCTTGGATTAGGTTCATTAGAAGCAAACATTGAGCAGAAAATTCATATGTAGGTAATTTATTAAGGAAGTGTTCCCAAGAGTAACCAGCAAGGGAATGAAGAAAGCAGGACAAAGAAGGTGAAGAGGCCATGCAAAAATGTGATTTCATGTGAAGGCCCAGCCGCATCAGCCTTAACCTCAGCCTGCTGGAGCCCAAGACTCGACAGTATAAATTACACATCACAGTTTGTCCTGACTGGAGGCACAGGAACTAGGCTTTCATCAGTCATTGGCTAAGGGCCACTCCAGAGAGATTTTAACTCCCAGCTGGGTGTGAACTCTCAGAGCAGCTCCAGTCGCCAGAAAGCAGTTCCCCAAAAGAATCTCTGACAAAAACTGTTAGAAGAAAAAGCCCACACAACCTGGGAGGGGAGGTAGAAGGATCTGAGGCAACCTGGGCAGAGCACAAATAATTGGTGAAAGGATAATAGGAGTTACAGTTATAAAGCTAAGAACCCCATATGAGTGAAATCATATGGTATTTGTCTTTCTCTGACTTATTTCACTTAACATTATACCTTCTAGGTTTATCCATATCATATGTGGAATTTAAGACACAAAACAAATAAAGAAAAAAAGAGAGACAAACAATAAACCAGACTCTTAAATACAGAAACAGGTGGTTGCCAGACAGCAGGGAGTGGGAGGATGGGTGAACTAGGTAAAGGGAATTAAGAGTACACTTACCTTGATGAGCACAGAGAAATGTATAGTCGCTGAATCATTATACGGTACAACTGAAACTAATATAGCACTGTATAATTATATCTGAATAAAAAATAAAATAAAATAAAATGAAATAAAATAAAATAAAATAAAGCTAAAAATCCCAAAGAATGAAACTGAGAGTCTGACTACAGAAATAAGAAAATGTTAATTACTATTGCAAATGGCTTGTTTACTGGGCATATGTTAGCTTACAAACGATGCTTTTCCTGTTTGAAAAGGATTTGAGAGTGCTGCAATTAAAGATGTATGCAAAGTGTGAGTATTAAAACAGAAATAGAAAATTCCAAACCTATAGCTATCGGGAAATGCAAAGTTAGTATATTCCTAGGCTCCTGTAGTTACTGCATTTTTAAAAAGATTTATTTATTTATTTATTTTATTTAAGGGATTGAGAGAGAGAGAAACCACGAGTGGGAGGAAGGGGCAGAGGGAGGGGAGGGGAGAAGCAGGCTCCCCGCTGAGCAGGGAGTCCAACAAAGGGCTCAGTCCCAGGACCCCAAGATCATGACCCGAGCTGAAGGCAGACGCTTAATCAACTGAGCCACCCGGCATCCCACTGCATTTTTTATGGTTAAATTTATGTTTGAGTTTCCTGATAATCATGGCAAGAATAGTGAAAGAAGGAAAAACTAGAGGAGGGGGAGAGGGGACTCAGAAACCCCTGCCAAGTTTTTAGGAGAGATAAACTCTGATAAATCCAAATTCTAAAATCCCAATTTGCACATAGATACTTACACAAGAACAGGTGAACAATTAAATAAAGAATAAGTTCAACAGTCACTTTTTGTAAGAAACAGAAGTGCTCGTCACATGACCAGTCCTCCTATGGATCTTCTACGTCATTAAAAGGTAATCCATGGGGGTGCCTGGGTGGCTCAGTCATTAAGCATCTGCCTTCAGCTCAAGTCATGATCCCAGGCTCCTGGGATCGAGCCCCACATCGGGCTCCCTGCTCGGCGGGAAGCCTGCTTCTCCCTCTCCTGCTCCCCCTGCTTGTGTTCCCTCTCTCACTGTGTCTCTATCAAATAAATAAGTAAAATCTTCTTTTAAAAAATTAAATAAATAAATAAATAAACAGTAATCCATGGATAGGTATTTCATTTGTAGGAGGTGAAGTAATGCAGTTTAGAAATATAGCTTTCTATTA